CTGTCCATCTGTGATAACCAAGGGTAGGCTCAAATCAGAAAGGCTCGTGTGGCAAAGTCTGTCCTAACCCCCCAGCTATGAAGCACTGAGAAGGTGGGCATGGGCTGGGCCATATTCCTGGTACAGCCGGGTGGTTGTTTTTTTTTTTTGTTGAGGTTGTTTTTTGGGGTTTTTTTCATTATTTTAACTTTTTATTTGTGTCTGGCTACGTGGGCTGTTGGCCGAAAGGATGAGTCCCAGTGTAAGCGAGGAGCCAGGATGGGAAGCAGCCATGGGATGCTGGGACTACGGAGACTGCCCTGGGCATCACCAGGACTCCCACCCATCGTCTGGACCACACTTCTTTGCCAGCAGGAGGACAATCCACCTCTCCTCAGTCTCATTTTTTCAATTCAGAGGCCAAACTAGGAGCCAGCATTTTGAATTTATATTTGGGCTTGGGTCTTTCTTTTCACTCTCCCTCTTGATTGCGGCTGTTCGGACCCGGTGGACCAATATTCTGCAAATAGACCTTGTCTTTATCAGCCTGTGAACTAAAATACTCCAACCAGAGCTCCCTCCTGCCCCCGGGTTTCCAAAGTGCAGCTCAAATTCTTAATTGGGTAACCTGAACTTCCCTGTAATCTACGTATCAGGGTGTATGGATGTAATGGCCATGTCAGCGCTGCGTGCAGCAACACTTTTAAGTCATATAATGGCCCTGTTCACTAGAAGAATAAACACACCGTGCAATTTAACCGCAAACCGGGGGGGATACAGAGGAGAGCCGTGGCTGGGAGGTTATCTACAATGGAAAAGCACTTATTTTCTTTTTGCAGATTTTGGGGGCGATCTGCAGCAGCGGCATTCGCCTTCATTTTGAGAATTGATTTTCTAATGGTGTCATCACAATGGTGAGGAGGAAAGGAAATGGAGAGAATTTCTTCTTGCAAGCACTTTTCAGCTTTTAAGAGGCTTTTGTGTGGCCTGTGCAAGCCTACAATTGGATATTGCAGAGCACAGGACTTTTATGCGGAGAAAAGGATTAGGAGAAAACCCCAAAGGTGTGAAAAATAACAAAAGGCAGTATTTGGAATTGCGGTGTTAGGAGACACAGCTGAAGTCAATGGGAGCTTGATCCATGAAAGCACAGCAGGACCGCGCCATATATAGGAAAGCACAATCTGTCAAAATTAAGTGTGTAGTTTATGGTATGCTTTTTGTTCGAAATAACATATTACCTCCTATTTATAGTAAAGCAGACTAAACAGTTCTATATGTCTGCATTTAAGGTTCGCAGACAGAGAGCGAGGATACCTTTTACCTGGAAATTGTAGAGTCAGAGCTCAAAATGGTTAGCAGTGATCTAAATGAATACCTGTGATTTTACAGGGGTATAAATCTCCAGCTGCTGCTTACACAGCCCCGCGCTGTCTGCAGCACTGCCTGGATCTGAAGATCACTGCTGGAGGACTACTAGGAAACAAATGAACTCGCAATGCATAGTGTCTTAAAGGAAACTATAAATGGGATAGGTCAAGGACTAGGCATGTAAGCGACAGGAAAAAAATCTTCCTTTTAGTTTATACAACTCCCGCTTCCATGTCTGTGCGGATTCCTAATAAGGAATAGTAACTTTTGGAGGCACTAGGCCTGGACATATTTCCTGACCTTATAATTCTCACAGTTCTAGACATTCCAAGGTAGGGGGTCATTCAGACAGAGTTGTAATTTCTTGTGCATATTTATTTCCAAAGTATCTTTTGCATAGTTTCCCAGTGAAATCATGTGCTGGGGCTGGGGAATGCTAAATAGGTTATTTTTCAAGCTTGCATATAAAGGGCCTGTCAAAGTGGACTGGTTTGGACTTATCAAGTAAAAGTGCTGGAGCCAAACCATGATGTTTGTAGCTTGTCCTTCCCAACCCCGTTACGAGCCGGGCTCCCAACCTTCCGACAGGAGGTGACGTCAGAAGGTTAAGGAGCTCTGGTTTTGTTATCAGTGAGGATTTTAACGATGATAAAAGTCTTGAAAGCGTACATTGGCTCAAGAGGAGTGTGACCTGAGCCTTCCCCCAAAACTGACATTTTCTTAACCCTTCGGTGTTAGATTTGTGCTCCTTTTTCTTCCCATTCCATAAATAAACACACAGCAAATTTTAGGGGGAAAGAGGTTGGAGAAGCCCAGCCTCTCTGTAAATAACCTTAACTGGTTGTGAAAGCACATTTTGAATTCATTTTCCCAGTCCTTCAAGACACGTACTTTTTTTTTTTTTGAAGCAATTACATTTATCTGATCAAAGAATTAAAATACGTGAGGGACCAAGCAAGGCATCGTGAATTTCAAATATTCATTTCTCAAAATCCATCAGTCAAGCAGCAGCTAGAAGTTATCTACTGTCTGAAAGAGGTTTACAACCAAGTATTTGTCTGGCCATTTTCAAAATAATAATAATAGTAAAAAAAACACCAACCTCTGCTAAAAAGCCTGCAGATAATGTATTCATCAAGGAGAATCCAAACTTGAGAGGAAGGAGTTTGCCCTTAATGCTGGGTATGCCCTGCTCAAAGCAGCAGTAAGGAGGGTTAGTCAGACCTCAGCTTTTATCAAGATGCATCTAACTAATCTAAACCGAAATGTGGGCACTTTTCTTTCTGAACTCCAACAGCATGTAATGCATTGGGGAGCCAGGTTTTCAAGCCCTTGTTGAAAAGCGAGCGTAGAATTTCTGCTTGCGTCGAAATTCCAGTGAAGAAAAAAAAAAAAGAAAATCTTCAGCTTTTTCTAAGCATTTGAAAAGAATGGCAAGGGGGAAGATCCCGTGGAAATTGGGAGTGTTTTCACAGATTGCTGGTGACAGTAAGTATCGTTTTATAAAACACCAGTTAGGCTGCGTATGACATATGGAGACAATTTCTGCCTCAGCTATATTTACCTTTCCCTTTGATCTGATGGGAACAGCTCATGTCTATTGAGGCCGAGCTCGCTCTCTGGTATCCTGTTTGGTTTGCCTATTGGAAGACGTTTGGAGGAGCTCTGTTGACACGTGCCGCCATAACGAGGAGGGCAAGATTGTGCAATGAGCCCCATTTAGTCACGTGGAGGGACAGTTACGAGGTGATATGAGTGAAATGCATGAAGTGCTGCCTTTTTCCTTTATCATTAGAGAATCATTGAAATGTAAGACTGGAAGGAAACTCCATAGGCCATATATTCTCTTCTCCTGCTGGAAGGCAGGATCAATTATACGGCCATCCCTGGCAGCCATTTAAGTAAAATATTACTGGAATGAAGAGATATTCTTTATATTTAGAAGGGGGAATACTGCCAGCACAGTTAGTTAGTTACCTTCTGGAAAAAAAAAAAAAAAGAAGAAGAAAAAAAAAAAAAAAAAAAAATAAAAGAGAGGTTATTCCAGCTCTCTAAGAGTTATCATTCAAATTAGCTTGATGATTTGCTTGGGATCATTGGAGAAGCCTGACTAGAAGATATAAGCGGCACGTAAGACAGGATATGTGGAAGTGAAAAATAAGGAGATACGATCACAGAAAGGCAAAGGAACAGGTTGAACAGGCTTCCAGTTGAGGTGATGACTCCAAAGGCCAGATTATATTTAGGAAGCAACTGAATGAACATGTGGAATTCAAAAATACAAAGAGCTGTGGATTGTATTTTTGAGCTTTGAATTACCTGGTGTCTCTTTCAAAGATTGGAAGTGAGATTTTACATGGGTTGCCCCCCTTAATTAGCACCAGAGATTAGTATCTGTATGTCTGCTTGCTTACACAGCACTGGCTTTATTCATTCTGAACAAAAAAGGTACAATAATTTAAAGATTTGTTCAAAAAAAAAAGTTCGTTAAGGTAATTGAGGGGAGAGAGAAGAACAAGCAGTATTGCTTTTCAGATCCACATGGATCCAGCCTCTGCTGTAGTCGTATCCCTGTAAGGTTCCTTGCCTGGTTGATGGAATTTTTTTTCTAAAGCCAGACCATTTCATTGGGCTTTCGTCAGAGCTGCAGTTTTCTCTGCTCTGCCCTTAAGTGTAAACACTACAACTATTTGCAGAGTGTTATTGGTCATCTATTTTATCAATCTAATATTCTTATATTACGCATCTTAATACCAGTATTAACTGTTTTGGGTCATTTCTTATTTGTATACCAGAAAACTGCTTCCAATGTTATTACTTATTGGTCATAATCAATTAGGGAAGTTTTTAGACTATGGCAGTCTTATATAAATACACTGGCAAAGTTCACCTCCTATGATTTCTGACAATTAAATTGTTCTGTCACTTTGGGACCTTCATTAATCTCAACTTGTCATCCTTGTTTATGCAGGTTATAATGGCCTGTGTGTGTAAGTGAAATGAGATGCTAAAAGCCCTTGGCTGTTTAACTCTTTGATGAAAGTCAAGCAGGATTATGTTGTTAAAGGGAAAAGTTGAATATTTTTTTTTCACCCCCCCCTCCCCCCCCAAAATAGCCCCATGGAAATTACTGTGCTGTTTAATGACTAGCTATGAAATAAGCCAAGGAAAAGCTTTAGAGAGGGGTGAAGAAAACCAAGTTGACGGTGCTGTTATCACGGTCCTTTGTGTGCCTGCATGAGTGCACATAGAAATAAAGATGTGGCAACGTGGACCATTTTCTCTTCCAGCAAAGTGCTATAAAAACATCGTGTTCCACAGAGGAATCCAACGGCCAGAGCTTTTCAGGTAACTTTGCAGGATCGGTGTTAGTCAGGTGAAGGACATGGCTGACTAAAGTCTCTTCAAACTTTGAGAATGGAGTGTTGTCAGTAGGCCCTTTGGTTTGAGTAATTCTGGCAGGCTGATGACTTGGGACCACTGCCGGCACCTTCTGAGGACTTTGAGAATTGAAAGTCCACTTACAGAATTGAATTTAGTATTGAGGTTCCTGGGGGAGTTTATAATTTTCTTCTTTCTTAAATTATCTCCAACATTCCAAGACCTGCTTTCTGATGTCTCCAAATGCCCCTTTCTCCATCTTTTTTAAGGTCTCCAAAGGCTTTCTAGAGGGGTCACTCTGCAGCACCAGCACCGTTACTTGTGTCAGCCTCAGGCAAGACCCTTCCTCTTGGAGAGACTTTCCAACCCTCTGACCTGCCATCAGCTCCTCACCTGGCACCACACACCGAAGCTGCAGGTACCTTTTATTCCATCCAGTTTGTCAAACCTGGTGTTTCCTCTTGGGCAAGCACCTGCTGAAACTGAAACCCAACCCAACACATAGTTGTTCTCATTTGGAACTGGAAAAAAGGCCAAAGCAGGCACTGGCCCGTGCTGGCAAAGCCGGAGATGGAGCACAGGTCTCCTGACCTGCTCAGGGCCTCCATCCCTACGCAGTTGGCCAAGGTTAAACAGGAATAGCCTTAGAGTTATCCATCTCAAATCTAAAAGGAGTGTAATGATATGCTATTCTCTGCACCCTGAGAAACATACGAGTGACATCCTCTCTCCGAGCACTAATTATCATAATTCTTAGACCAGAGAGAGATCCAGAACACTGCACAAATTATCACCCAATATCTTTAATAAATGTGGATGGTAAGTTACTTGCAAAGGTGCTGGTTAATAATCTGGAACACATATTCCCAGACCTAATTCATTTCAGTCAGGTGGGATTTATTAGGAATTAGGCTGTCACGCAGGAGTATGATACAACTCTTCAGTACAGTAAGTTCATACAGAAGCAGAGGAGAAAGCTGGTGCGTCTCATAGCGATGTAAATGACTTCGACCATACAGAGACAGACTATTTCTGACTTTCCTAAACGTTCAGATATGGACAACTCTTTGACACCGTGCGGGAAAAGCCAGTGGCACCCATCGATCTACTGTAAAAATGCTGCTGCCTGTGGTTAATGGCCAGGCTTCCTAAGGTACAGAAAGGAGAAATGGTTGAGCTGCTCTCCCATTTCTGCTTGAGCCAGAGTTCACATCACGACTACATTTCTTTTTTTTCTCTCATGAGATTAATTTATAAAGAAAACCCAATCCCACGCGCCTCAAGGATGCCCGTTTTGGATGCGGCTGCCTTTCGTTAAGTGCCTCGAGAGGAAACAAAGCCATGGGCTCCCACCAAAGATGCCTCAGCGTGTGTACCGAAAGTTCAGTAGGAGAAACGCGAGTCTTGGAGGCAAACTGCCAGATGTTATTTGTCGAAGCTGCCTCTAGGCTGCTCTGAAGCATATACCAACACATGTGGCAGGGCAGAATGAGAGTCAGGGCAACTTTCCAATTTTTTCTTGCTCCCAGAGGCTCTCCAGGGGAAGCTGAGTTTAGGAACAGAGAAACAAAGACCACGAAAATGGGAAATCGGTGTATTTTAGGTTCTAGTGCTGGGGCAATTATAAAGCGGTGTATATGTAATTTCACCTTATGTTTTGAACACAAACCAATATTCCTGTCTTTCTAGATACTTCAGCGTGTGGTGAGGTGCAGAAATCAGATGCAAATGCTCCTGGAGCCGTGGGGCCAGCGTTACTGCTCCTGCTTTGACAATGCCAGCTGATCGTATGCTTTGGGAATGAGGTAAAGCTTTAACGGGCCTTTTTTTGAAATAGACTTTTTAAAAGCCACACTGGATTTCACTCAAGAGCACGCTAAGAGAATCTTGAGTTTAGCCAGTTCATTTCCACCCACTGCCTTCATACATCCATATAAAATAAACAGACTGAAACATTTGTAGTATTGGTAGCAAAAAGAAGTGATTCATCCTACAAAAGAGAAAAACACTTGCCCAAATAAACATGACATAGTGGTGAAGCACTGTTCTTGAAGTACCAACCCCACAAAGATGCTATTGCTTATGTTCTTCTTACATTATCATCTTTCCATGAACAGGCGGTTTACTGAGACTGATATCTATGGGGAAAGTCTATTTTTAGCATGTGTTTGTACATTGGCCAGTACAGCCAGATGCTGATATCTAATACTTGCCTATTGAAAGTTTAAAGACAAAACTGAATGTAGTTTAAGAAAGGAATTCTCAAAAAAGTTTACTATACAATACAAAGGGGGGGATATTTAGTTCCTAACGTCCACTTCTCTGCAATAAGATGTACCATTGAAGAGATTACGTAGATGTATTCCTTTTTTTTTTTTACCCCCTGTTGCAGCTGTACCTTAGGAACATTCTCCATCTTAATGTTGGCATCAGTCATTTTTGGTACTATGTAAATTATGGTATTTGTACGAACAAGGGCTTTGACCAAAAATGGAATTTTTTGTTTTCGAAGAAGCAGTTTTCAAATTTTCATTAAAGAGAGGAAACTAGCAATTTCAAATGAAAATTCCCCAATTTTTAATGAATTTCTGGGGCATTTTGAAAATGAACTTGGATAAAATCTACCTCACAAGTCATTTATCTGTCGATTACAGCCATCTAAATATCCTCAGTGTGTGTAAATCAGTTCCGTTTAGCAATACCAATTAAGCGAAATGTGGCTTTAAAATCTCGCAGTATATTTAAATGAAGTGAAAATATTTTCATTTTTTTAAATGAGCAATCTCACATAATTAATTAGTTACAAGTTTTCCATAATCACTGAAATACAGGGCCATAAAGAGGCGACCTAATACGGATGTCAAAATGAGTTCGTGTGTGTGTGTGTGGGCACTCACACGTCTGTGTATGCACAACACACACTTTTGTGTCCCCACATGCGAAGACACACACGCACGTGTATATATATATATATATATATATATATATACACATGCATAAAATCCCTGATTAAACTACTGGTGGCTACCTCTCCAGGCAAATAAGGCTCATAAATTGACACATTTTGCTTAATCTGTATGTAAAGCGTGTTACACATCACTGTTGTAATGCAGACATCTTAACTTTAAATGAGACGAAAACAAACATAAAATTAGCACTTTAGGGAACCCCCTGCCACTCAATTTGTGTTGGGTTTAACACCTTCTTATTTTATATATCCTTCTACATAAACAGTTTTATATCAGCCCTTGATACGGTGCCTTCAAAGAATTAAATGTCGAGCTGTTTAAAAGCACTAATTAGCAGCTTTAATACAAAGGGGAGCATAGTTATTAGTAAAATCTTGTAAACCTAGAATACCCTTCGGGCCCAGTCATTTGTGTGTGAAATAACTCAATAAAAATATTATATTGTTAATCACAAAAACCTTCAAGGGAAATGCTAAATCTGGGAAGAAATATAAACTGTACCTTTCCAAACAAAGGAGGAAAAGTGACCGTCCACATTAAAGCAAAGCCATAAAATCCCGAGAAGAATATATTCATTGATAAAAGGCAGCTTGTTCCCTCGTCAGGGTTTGTGCAATCTGTAACCTTATGCACGTACAACAACAAACATACATTAATGGTGTTTAGTTTGAACACAGCTAGCGACATATTTATTAAATTAGCACTTCATTCCTTTCAATGACGTGCAACAATGGCAAGGCTTTTTCAGAAGGTGGCTTTTTTGGTAGTGGTGGGATAGTATTTAAATCCATACAGTTATTTATCTGCAATGGAAATCATATCTATCTATATGCGTCTATCTACCATTAGAGGTGTTTATAAAGGCATTGGAATCCATCGATTTTCTTTCTAGAAAACTATATATGTACGCTTAATTTTGTTGGATAAATTTAAATTTATGCTTGACGGTGCTGAGGTCGACTTCTTTCAGTACATCACATATGTTTTATGTTAATAGTTAATATTTATGATGCAGGTAAATAATTATATTCTTAAACATTTAAAAATCACACTAATTCCGACGTTATTAAGGAGGTAATGTTTCTAATTGATACAATGTGGTATAGCTGAGTGGCACTAGATAACAGAAGAAACATGCTTAAGTATGGGGAAAATAATGTGGCTGACAACTAATGCTTAAAAATAAACCACTAAGAATCTCAGAATTTGCAGATGCTAAAAAAAGACCGAAGACATTACTTTTATAGTTTATGAGTGATTTCATGAGATACAACTGAAGACTTTGACCTTAAAAAACTAACTTTCTGCCAGTGTTTCAGTGAAAGGTGTTTGAACGGTACTTATAATTTTAAATTCCAGGGGAAAAAATCTGAGGTGCCTTACCCCTCTGAAATTGTTACTGTGATACGTTTTATATGCCATCATGCAGAATCATTGTTTGCATCTGGTATCATCCTTCTCCCTCACCTTTCCTGGGAAAAAGATTGGGGAAAAAAAATGCTGGGCAGGCATATTTCAGCCAGTGTCATCATAATGATCATTTGTTGGTCTCAGTGCTAGTGGATTTTTATTTTTTTTTTTAAGGAAAAATAAATATGGATAGTTTCTAATATTTGCGTAGAATTTTAAGTAGAAATTTCTCCATAATGAGCAATATCTATCCTTTCCAGCTAGGGGCTACTATGAGAACCAGATTTATTCAAAGCCCCAGTCTATTTGCTGTGAATATATTTTTAATGTATTTCTCTAACATGAAAGAGCTGGGCAGAGCTTAAACATTTATTATTTTTTTTTTCTGTATGTCACGCTTTACTTTTTATGGTGTTTTATGTTACAACCTAATTAGTATCTTACAGTGCCCTTACATGTACTTAGGGTGTAGGGTTTCACTAAATACACTGAGCGTTTTATTTTGGGGGTGGGGGGGGACCTCCGTGACACACTCTGAGCAGTTTTAAGCAGGCTGGGGGTATGTTTGCAGTCAATCACGCCTCTGGAGATAGGTTCTCCACCTCTGGCTATAGGTTCTCCACCTCTGGCTAATGCGCTGCTGTAAAACCTTCACCGTTTCTAGCTGTGCCATACACTCTGTTTTTAAACCCCTACCCCTGCATGGGGGTGGAGGGGAAGGAGACAATTATTTCCAGGACTTCATAAAGCCTATTAACTAATTGCATGAGGATTAACTAATAGCAGCCTCGGTGTTGGATGGCTGGCCAAATTAGGTATGACTTATCAAACCGGTGCTTCCTCAACCGCCTTTGCCGAGGAGGTCTTTGTTGGTGGCTCGTTTTGTAGGTCATGATGATGGTGATGGTGATGGTGATGGTGAACCAGGGCTGATATAGAATCATAGAATGGTGAGGGTTGGAAGGGACCTCAAAGATCATCGAGGGATCACTATGGGGAGGGACACCTCCCACTAGAGCAGGTTGCTCAAAGCCCCATCCAGCCTGGCCTTGAACCCCTCCAGGGATGGGGCAGCCACAGCTTCTCTGGGCAACCTGTTCCAGTGTCTCACCACCCTCATAGTAAAAAATTTCTTCCTGAGATCTAATCTGAATCTTTTTTCTTTCAATTTAAAACCCTTTCCCCTTGTCCTATCACTACACTTCCTGGCAAAGAGTCCTTCTCCAGCTCTTCTGTAGGCACCCTTCAGGTATTGAAAGGTCAATATACATTGCTATAAGGTCTCCCTGGAGCCTTCTCTTCTCCAGGCTGAATATTTGGGCTGCATCCTCTAAAAACAGGTTTGGAAAGTCGGAGAGGTCTGGAAGCGTGGGCGGTTTTCCCACTGGAGGGATCCTGCAAATCAAAAATGGGGCGTGAGGAGAATAGGGCAAGCCGTGGCAAGCGCGTTCCAGAGCGGCATGATGGATGAGGGAGAGGGCCTTGTGAATGCTCCCCCTTCTGAAGGGGAGATAATCCCTCAATCTCCAGAGGGCAAACCTGTCAGAGAGCAGCCCAACAAGGGTCCCCTCTGGTTTTTTATCTGTCCTGTGGAGGGCACCAGCATTCAATGGCAGTCGCTACCCCCGGGGCCTGCGGTGGGAAGCTGAGGAGCGATGTTTGGGAAAGGGACTGTCTTTTGCCCTCTCTACAAAAAGGTGGTGTTATCTCCCAGCTTTGGAGAGAAGGGAGAAGGTGGGCTAGGATGTTTTGGAAAGGCTAAGACCACTCTAGTCTTGCAGTAATAAAAGGCAAGATAAATTGTTCATGTTTAAAGCATCTTAAGATTCATATGGGGCAAGCTTTGTCCAGTACCATGCAGGTAGAGCACTTGCTGGGGTAGGAGGGCTTCCCAGGAGAAACCTAGGCTTAACCAGAGTTTATGTTTAACCACGAAGGGATCACCCTGCTCTCCCTACAAAGCCCTTTCATTTCCATCTGGAATGAGTATACGATAACCTAGTCAGACCAGCCTCTCAGTCACCAATCAAAACACTGACTCTTGACATTTGCCTAATTATCTTTTCTCATCATCAGTCATTTCTTGAAGTCTTTGCTTCATTCAGATGCCAGGTATTTCCGAAATTAATCATGTCATTGAAAGCGGCATCTTTTCATGTAAATGGACTTTATTATCTGGATCGAAAAGCTCTCCCCCCCTCCTCCTCCTCCTCCTTTGAGCTGCAAAAGCCCATTTGTAGGGAAAGTGTCTGAAATCTGACATGCTGCCTTCTCAAGAAAGATTCGTAGTGGTGACCTCCCAGCAAGAGCTAAGCATCCGTCACCGGGAGTGCGTGTGTGTGCTGCTTGCACCCTTGGGCTGGATGCATGCTAATTTGCCCCATTGTTTCGGGGTGAGTGGCTTTCCAGCACTTCCCAACAAAGCC